TTCTTCCCCGTCTACGGGTCTCAACGCCATTCCTGAAGCATCTAGCAGTACATCAAATTCTTCTGAAAGCATGCTTTACTCAAACTCTGTACCTGTAACGAGGGAAACTGAGACAATTTCAAGCTCGGTAATAAATCAAAATGATAACGAAAACCAAGATTACAGAGGAGCATTCGCCGTATTTCGAGCCCGCGACAACAACACTTGGAATTTTAACGTAACTAGTGATGACAATGACTCGGCTGTTTTAGAGAACGAAGCGACTGGAAACTCAGTTAGCTTTGAGTCTGATTCGAGCGACGACAGCCCAGGGGGGGTGAGCATGAGTGTGACTGCGGGGGACACAGATGTGTATTCTGATACACCCGATGTAGAACTTCCGACCATGCAACAATCCGTACCTTTTGACTCTCAATATTTCACTTCCGCCCCCGCTGACCAGCCAGACGATCGAGTCGTCGGCGTAGGCCGCGTTATCAATGTCGGTCCCAGCTCATCTCGAAGTAGTTATCTCTCGCACGGCACCAACCATAGCTCAAGTTTTGCTACACTAGGTGGTAGCCAGGGGTCTGGGACTGCTGTCGCTACGGCAACAGCGCGAACGTTTAGGCACGTACATACTGCGGTGGTGGTCGCTGATGTGACTAACGGAGGGCCCCAGTTTGCACTGAGGACTGCTATAAATAGAGCCATTGCTGGGGCATTCGCAGGTTGCGGTGAAGGAGCCGTGGCGAGTAATATAATAAACACCACACATCGCTTACAGTGGTGGCATTTTTCTCAAGTGGAGTTACCTGATTTGAAAAACAGTGAGTATCCTTCTCTGTTTACGCATCCGTGAACTCTTTAACTCCCAGAAGTGATTAACAAGTAACTTCTCCTTCTAATATCCATACATTATCCAGCAAACAGGTAATGAGAATACTCAAACTTATCAGAGCCTCTTAAGTGATGATAAGGTACTAATACCCATTTCTCACAGCTGTAAATGATTTGCAAATAGCACACAGAAGCTAATGGAACATTATTTCCAGGTGAAAGTCACGTGATTGCCTCCAGTTGTAAGATTCACAACGACGCGAGCTGCGACATATCAAGTGATGGAAAACTACTGGCCACCTTCGTGCCTAGTGCCCAGGGCTTCCCTGATGATGGTGTAGTGGCGGTTTATTCTCTTGAGAAAGCTACTCTAGGACAGTGCCTATTCGCAAAGGAATTCGGTGAGGATATTTTTTCATAGAGTGAATTGGTTTGCTCTACATTTAAAGCCGTGTTAGAGTTCAGGAACAGAAAACGGGCGGAAAGGAGGGGGAGGGGGAAGTGTTCTTGCAGGAAAAACGGGGGAACCCGTGGGATATCAATGTCGAAATAGAATTTTCACTTTTGTACTCACCTTCCACGCACTAGAGGTATGAAAAACGGTGCAATGCACGTAGGGTGTCTTTTCTTTAGTGCCATTGGCTGATTCCTGGTTTTGTCACGGTGTATTTCAGGGCCGAACGCTATCTCCATAAGTCTGTCTCCGCTAAATCGTTACATTATGGTCGGCTTAGCAGCTAGGCGACTTCACTGGCATCTCACGTCCAGACAGGTTAGTCATTTGTCACGTTAAGTGTGTCATTCGACACAGCGGTCAAACGTAGGGCATGCTCGAGGGGTCAAATTTTGGGCGCCCGCGCGACATTTCTGAGTAAAAAATAAGAAACAGTCGCTGTCTCGCAAAATAAGCGAAAGAAAATCGAAACGTTCATAGGATAGGGTTCGTACGCGTCTTGAAAACCCTTGAATTTCAGGAGGCCGATTTCAAGGCCTCGAAAGTACTTGAATTTCGTTTTGGGTCCTTGAAAGTCCTTGATTTTTTATTGAACAACATCGAAAAATATCTCCTTTTGTTTTGCACCATCGGTAAACCCAAAACATAGATGTTAACAGAAACATTTTTCTTGGTTTTGAGGTAAAATTGTCATTACAAAATGTCCCTGAAATTTCTAAGTAGGGTCCTGGAAANGTTTGCTCTACATTTAAAGCCGTGTTAGAGTTCAGGAACAGAAAACGGGCGGAAAGGAGGGGGAGGGGGAAGTGTTCTTGCAGGAAAAAGGGGGGAACCCGTGGGATATCAATGTCGAAATAGAATTTTCACTTTTGTACTCACCTTCCACGCACTAGAGGTATGAAAAACGGTGCAATGCACGTAGGGTGTCTTTTCTTTAGTGCCATTGGCTGATTCCTGGTTTTGTCACGGTGTATTTCAGGGCCGAACGCTATCTCCATAAGTCTGTCTCCGCTAAATCGTTACATTATGGTCGGCTTAGCAGCTAGGCGACTTCACTGGCATCTCACGTCCAGACAGGTTAGTCATTTGTCACGTTAAGTGTGTCATTCGACACAGCGGTCAAACGTAGGGCATGCTCGAGGGGTCAAATTTTGGGCGCCCGCGCGACATTTCTGAGTAAAACATAAGAAACAGTCGCTGTCTCGCAAAATAAGCGAAAGAAAATCGAAACGTTCATAGGATAGGGTTCGTACGCGTCTTGAAAACCCTTGAATTTCAGGAGGCCGATTTCAAGGCCTCGAAAGTACTTGAATTTCGTTTTGGGTCCTTGAAAGTCCTTGATTTTTTATTGAACAACATCGAAAAATATCTCCTTTTGTTTTGCACCATCGGTAAACCCAAAACATAGATGTTAACAGAAACATTTTTCTTGGTTTTGAGGTAAAATTGTCATTACAAAATGTCCCTGAAATTTCTAAGTAGGGTCCTGGAAAGTCCTTGAGAAGTCCTTGAATCTTTGGCCTGAAAAAGTGTACGAACCCTGATAGGAATCTATAGGGACTAGGAAAACTCCAGCCTTATCGAACATAGAGCTTATGGGTACCCTGTTGATTTACCATTCTGTTTTGAACTTTATCAGAAAAGTAATACGCTTCCAAAACACCGTGACGTACTGGCTTGTGTGGTTGTTTGTAACTTTTGTGAGACAACTTGGCATTGAAAGCCTCAAGGCACGCCACCCGTAGAAGTCATTACAACGCTTGCACATGCGCAGACGTTTGACCGTTGTGTTTTGTTATTCTAATGCAAGCTTAGTGGAATTGCGCATCCCTAATTTGTTACCAGGCAGTCAGTGTTATTCGCAGCGTTAATGAAGAAGTTGCTCAAAAGAAGCCAAAAATATGAAAATTAATGGTCAAATCGAGAGGATGAATTTTTACGTTCGAACGTAAAGTAACAGCAAAGTGGTTTTTCGTGTTGACAGTAGCAGCAGCATCATCAGCAGAATTTGATCTTTGAGAGAGACGAGATACAATCGAGGATTAACTGTACATGTGAAAAGATGGGATTCAAAACTATCTACCTCAAAGAGTGATAAGCTAATTTCTCCATACTTTATCACTCCTAAATCACACATCTAGGTCACAAAAATAAAGGAAATGATCACCAACAAACGATGATCTTGATTGGTTAACAAATTCTCCTTGTCAGCACCCAAGGAAATGTATTGAGATCAGTATGGAGAATATGCATACTGATGCTATGGTGTAAAGGGTTAAGGCACAGTAGATCAAAGTGACAGAAAATTCCCAGCTTTTAGAGGATGAAGTTTGATTTTTTATTATTATTATTATTATTATTATTATTATTATTATTATTATTATTATTATTATTTTTAACAAAAATATTTCAGGTTGTGGCACAGATCTTTCGGCTGACTGGCAAAGAAAGTCCATCAGACGCAGTAAAGGTATTATACAATATTTCTCTTTGGCAAAGTTACAAAAGATTATACTGTTTTACCACGATTGTCGATGAAGAAAGAAAATTAAAGACTTTCAAATGGCCACTGATGCTTACGGTTTGTTAATTACTTTTTCGTAATTTCTTAAACAGCCCGTTGTCAGTATTACGCATGACTGTAACCCTGATCAACGGAGTCATGTGAGTGTAAATGCAGCGTTCTTCCACCCTCTGGTTGGGAATGGTTTGGTGTATGGCACCAACCGAGGACATCTACACATGCGCCAGTTTGGGTAAGACTTTTTCTTTTTAGCAATTCTTTAATTTTTGCCGAGGTTAAACTCCACCACGTGATCATAGTGGAGTTAAAACTTTTAAGTTTCTGAATGAACGTGGAGAAAAAAAAAACTTCAAGAGTCACGAGGGTTTTTCTTATGGAGTATTACAGTAGAGTGTCAATAGTGATCTGGTAGTGTTTAGGTTTTTCTTTACAGTGCTCTGTTAAATAGGTTAAGTCTGTTTATGAGCCAAGTGGCCCATCAGGCCGGCCGTTAACTGCGGTTTCCGTAGCTTGAAGCTATTGGGAGTATTTCTACTCCCTCCTGGATGGGATGCCAGTCCATCGCAAGGTCACCCCCCAACATTAAAAACCTGGGGTGAATAGAGGCACTGTGAGAGTAACGTGTCTTTCCTAAGAACACAACACAATGTCCCAACCAGTCGAACCTGGACCACTCGATCCGGAGTCGAGCGCACTAACCATGAGGCCACCGCGCCTCCCACACAATGCTCTGTGATTGGTCGAAAACTCGCGCCGCTTTTTCGATCAATCAGATTTAGAATTAAAAGCAATCGTGAGCTTGTCACTTGCATTTTCTATTAAAAAAAAGTATTGAATATTTCATCCTCCTTGCACTCATTTGCATATTACAGAGTTCCTCAAGAAACTCTTATCGACCATCACCCGACCTAAAACGCATCTTGTTGTTATGTGGTAGTCACAACAATGGACTCGATGATAGTCATGATTAATGCGGTTTTATTTTTGTTTTGTTTTGTTTTGTTTCAGGCGTCGCAGTTCATCCGGGTTGTCGAGTCTAAGTGGTTGATATTAACTATTCCCAGTTGCTTTTGCTGCAAGATTGTAGGCGGCAAGCTTTTCAAAATACTTCTTTTGGTCCCGACGCTAGGAAAAGAGTACCCTCCGTTTTGCAGTTTCTCTTGTGGTCCAATGGGGCAATTGCAACGGAAGGAGGAGAGGTATTGGAAAACAAAAATGGTGCGGAAAGAGAATGCTGGCTTTGCTCAATGTTTAAGCATTGAAACGATTTTTAGCACTAATCGCGGAAGAACCTATCAGATCACAAGAGCACAGGCATTAATTTGTAATCCAAAAATGCTAGGATTTCGTCCTTCATGGCTGCCAAAGGAAAGTTAGATTTTCAAAGAAATATTTGTATACTTGAACAGTAAATTATTGTACAGTCCGCTTTCACGCTAGCACTCCACTTTCCTTTCGTTTGTGTCAGCGTGGACTTCTTTAATGCATTGGAGTATGCGCTGTGTTAACAATGTACATAATCTCGTCAATGAAAATAAATTATTTTCCTTTTACTTCGTGTATTGACTTTCATTCTACCACCAGTGTGTATTTATTTTGTTATCTTCAACATGGGCAGGCCGAGTTATGACGGTAGCGTTTTTCGGTTTCCCCGAGTGGAATGAATTTGGCGGAACTTTATGTGGAAACCGGCGTGACATCTTGCACAACTTCCATTACATTGAGGACGTCACGCAAGTTGTGTGACACTATTAAGAATTTCTGCAAATGTTGTGCTACAACAGTTTACAAGTAAAGCTTAGTATGTGAAAAACGATTCACATCATTTAAATTGATGTTTGGATAATACAAGTATCTCACCTCGATGGTTTTGCTGCCTTGTCCGTTGTTCTCTCGTTTCTTCGGCTTATTTAAAGCCAACTGAACCTGCTATGAGTTTCGAGTATCCACCGCCAAGAAGTTCTGACTAGACATGCGATTCGAATGCGGCGAAAAACCCATCGAACACCTGCCAAACGACCCAGTTCCCACACAGAGTTGAAAAGGAGGTTTACGCTCACTTTTTCTATGAAATTGGATTTCAAATACAACTCATCAAACGACATTAAAATCTTTGAACCAGTTTCTCTCTTAAATACCACATGTTCATAGCCCGTGTAGAATACTGGGCCAAACATTTGACCCTGTCCAGGAAAGGGTGCGCCAAAGTGGCTATGGAGTTGAAAAGAGGTTTGCAATGACTTTTTCAATGAAAGTGGATCTAAAACACATCCCTATTAACGTACATTGAAATCTTCGATCCATTGCTCTTTAGTTCCACATATTTAAAGCTCGTGCAGAATACTGCGCCTTCTGAAACAGGCTACCTTGATAAAGCAAAGAGTGACGCAACTTAGACTCCATTTACAAATCCAAATTTTATTGGTCTTTAGGGAAGCCTTTTCATGTACAACAGCAGTTTTAGTTTTCTTTTCTTAATACTAACGGGCTCCAGCTCGGGCGTCTACTCAACTCTTCAAACTTTGGCCTGCGTCTTACTCGGCTTTCGCCTACTTAAATTATTAGTTGCTTTATATTGGTTGCTTTCTGGACTTTAGTTACGGTTCTTCCGTGCCCTTTTCCCTGAAATCAAACGTAAACACTCAGAATTTTCAGTTGAGTTGGCTCTCTATTTACGAAGAGCATTTTCCTACTGCTTTTCCTTCTTACGCATAAGTAGAAGGACGGGGCCATTACATTCTATGATTCTGCATCTAATTTCTCCTTACAATATCACCCCTGCATCACACATTAAGGTTACGAGAATAAACGAAATGATCACCAACTAAAGAAGCTCTGGATTGTTAAACAAATTCTCCTTGTGAGCACCTGAGGAAATGTATAGAGAACGATATGGAGAATATGCATTCTGATGTTAGGGTGTAAAGGGTTTAGCCACTCTTTTGACACACGACTAAATTCCTTAAAAATAAGCGAAGGTTGATGACCAGCACTGGATGTTTCTTAAAGTTTACGGATTTCAGTCAAATGCTTATTCCCAAGAAGGACAGTTTTTCTCTAGGGTGAGTAAACGTAAGCTGCTCCAGTAAGAATCCCTCTCTAGTTTCTGCGAAATGAAGCGACGACCTTTGGCTGAACGGGATGCCAGTCTATCGCAAGGTCACTCCCACCNGAGGCTGAAAGACAGACAGACAGGCAAATAGACAGGCACCAAGTAGACAGAGAGCCTGACTGACAAGAAAACTTGTAGACAGACCGACAGACTGACAGACAAACTAACCGACAGACAAGAGTACCTGGGAGGCTGAAAGACAGACAGACAGGCAAATAGACAGGCACCAAGTAGACAGAGAGCCTGACTGACAAGAAAACTTGTAGACAGACCGACAGACTGACAGACAAACTAACCGACAGACAACCAGATAGACAGACAGACAGACAGACAGACAGACAGGCGGACTGATAGGCAGATTAACTGACGGACAAGCAGGCAGAGAAACAACCAGGCAAACAAGCTTAAAGAAAGGCAGACAGACAGACTAACATACAAGCAGGCAGACAGAAAGACAGATAACGAATAGACCGACAGGCAGACAGTCAGACTTAGTCAGTTGATAGACAAACAGACAGGGCAGACAAGTGGACGGACTAACAGACAGGGAGACAAAGAATTTTATTCAAAACAAGTGAAAAGAATTAAACTAAGAAAAAGCAACTTGTTTTTCAATCTCAGCCATACCTTTAACAAAGATATGAACTTTTAGTAAAGTACATCCAATCTTATCTCCAGGAGAGACAGATAGATTAAGTACACACCGAACAAAGACGTTTTAAACCGAATGCGTGTGAAGCTCTAATGGCAATTAAAGCAATCTCCGGTTGAGTGTCGAGAGCAATCCAGGTTTGCACTGGTTTTGCTTTACTTTTTTCTGTGATTGGTCCGGAAAACTCGCGCTACACTCTCAACCAATCAGATTCAAAACTAAAACCAATCATGATTTGGTCGCCGGTATTTTCCCGCGCTTTAAGCGGTTTGCTGGTTTTTTACTTTAAGTTCTCGTTGGCTCTTCGCGTTAGTTTCTTTTCTTCTAATTGGCGGTTGTCATAACTTTGGTTTTGGTTTTACGAAACTCAATATCGAAATTCGCAGATAATTAATTCACACTTGTTTATTACAAACCCACTAGTACCTGAGAAGTTTTGTTACTATAAAGTGAGTAGCAATAGGTTCCGTGATTGCAAGTTTTCACTCTTCCGCAGGAGGTACTATTACGGCAAGATGTCGTGTAGTTCTGGAAGTAACACCGGCGATCTAAAAGCACAAGGCAAAAGAGAAGGAGAGTAAACATTCCGCCTATTGTTACAAATACTCAAAATACCCAATAGCGCTTTATACTAATGACGTCATGAAATTTTAGACCCCCCGCGTGACTCAGACAAACAAACTCCACTTCTTTGAGAGCTACAAGGGAAATGGCGAGTAGTTCGCTTATTCCCTTACAGTTCTGACCGAAGAGGACGGCGTTCCTGGCTCCAAATTTGAAAGAGAACCGGAAGAATACACTGTAGACCAGCTAAAACGGTGGTTAAAATGTAGGGGCTTAAAATTAAGCGGTAAACGAGAAGATCTTGTACAGACTGTGTGAGATGCGGGAATTATCACACCCTTGATCCGGCAATCGATCATGGAAAATGGTTTGCTGCCAAAGTTTTTCAAGAAAATTCTGATGTAAACAATGTAAAAAGGGGGTTGACAGGCCTACACGACTCCCCAGCGCGTGTTTAGAATAGCCTATTCAAAGTTTGGCTCTCACGAGCATGTTTTTGAGCGATCGCCCTCTTTTGTAAGATACGAGCGGCGGATTTTTGTATATTTCGCTCAATACTGATTGTGTTTCTATTAAATGCCAGTTCATGTAGTTTATGTAGTTAATGTTCAGGCAGTTGTCATTGAATAATTTCTGTTTCTTTGACGCTGAATTTTCTCTTTCTTTCGGTGCTTTCCTCTAAGGAGCATGTGCTCAACTTACTTGCGCTGGTCTTAGATTTGCCTTTAGTGGATCGGGAAATTCGGCTGTTGGACCTTTTCCGCCGGGCCAGTGAAGAGCACAAATATAACTTAAGTGTTTCTTGTTATGTTTTTCTCCGTAAAAAATTCATGCGAACAAGCCACTAGCCAACGCTTGCACTTTGCCATGTCTCGCGAAGGTTTTGGGAAAGGAATGAATACTTTCTTCCCTAATTCCTTTCACTCTTTGAGCGATTTTGGCCATTTATCTGCATATCTTGAGTCTGTCTTACACTCACCCCAACAACAGTGTTTGGTACCAACCATGCCCCTTCCTTTTAGAACGCCAAGTCATTTTTTTACGAAATTTTCCGTCGTTTTGTTTTAATTTTACAGCTCTCGCTCATACATTTCCTTAAGCTGGTCGCAATGTCTGTCTGAGTCTGTGCGGGGGTCTCATAGGTTATCACGTAAGAAAATCTATTTTTAGTAATAGTATAAAGCGCTATTGATTTTCTTTCTCCTATAAAAATGAATTCCATAAATATAGGTTGTATGGTCCTGGGAACTTCTTGAAACTTCTATAATTTCACAGGAGTGTAATGTGCGTTTTTCCGTGGCGCTAAAGAGGCTTAAGGAAACACTCTCTATGCCAAAAGTATTTCATCTCCTAGGAACCAACTTTACGGAGCGATCATATGGAATTGTGAGTTGTAACAGCCGACCACTCACCAGCCTCTCTCGTGACTACTAGGCGGGTTACACATTGGATAAAATTTGAGCCGTCACGTCTCGGGAATTCCAGGCGGAGTGGTTATTATCCGTGCCCCCCTGAGTTGTCTTACCTCCTGAGACGAGTTCCTCATTTTCATGTGAGTGGTTGGTTTCAAAATTATGTGAAAAATTAGCTCGGTTAGGGTGACTCTGGGAGAGGGTTTTGTCGGGTACCCCAGACTACATAATTGAGGACTTAGACTAAAAAAAAATGTTAAATTACCTGGCGTTTTTTTCTGATTTTGTGAAGGACTCATCAGAAACCTTGACGAGTAATCTGAAAGATAGGTAGGAACAGTTTATGAGCTAAATAGCATTCTAGCTTAATTCAGAAAAGTCGACAATACAAAGTTTTGTAGCATTGCGTAAGCAACATGGTTACGTACTCGTGACAGATAAATTTACTGTAATCAGACCTAATATCGGAGAGGTCAACTATAAGTTAACTATACAATGTAGTGAGAGTAACGCCATGTTCTAACGTTCTTTTTAACACAAATCATGTAAAGCGCGCGCTCTGATTGGTCAATTCAGTGTCTACTATTTGCCCATGGATGTACGTTGCTGACGTGAGCAAATGTTTCTAAGTAAGCAAATGTTGCGCAAAAAAAAAAAAGCTTTTTGTCATAAAACAAGCGGTGTTTACTATTGGTTAAAGATACATACCATGTGCAGAAGGCAGGCAATCACAGATCGAGACGATCGTTAGCAAAAATATGAACTTGCTTTCCATCCTCGGATTAACAAAACCAAGAGTAACTCAGACCTGGA